GAGAGAGAGAGAGAGAGAGAGAGAGAGAGAGAGAGAGAGAGAGAGAGAGAACCATGCAGGGCTCTGAGGAGAGGGGGAGGGAAAGGGGGAGAAAATCTAACTTGGGAGCTGGGCATAGTGGCACAGGTGCGCAGTCCCAGCTACTCCAGAGGTCTAGGTAGGAGACACAAAAAATTAAATCAAATACCTGGCTTGATTGTACTCCAGGACAGAGCACTCACCAGTCTGTACAAGGTCCTGGGTTCAATCTCAAGTACCACCCAGACTGCTTCAGGCTCACCTGAGGATGTGAGCCAGCCTATCTAGCACAGGCTGTGAGTGGGTACAGGTCTGTAACCATGACATAGCACAGGTAAGCACACAAGCACTAGTTATAGCACCATGCAAGGATGTAAATATGTGATAACAACCTGCATAAGAATTATACAATAAAGACTCAGGTGGCTCTGGCTCCGGCTCCCTGCTGTGCTCCATGTTGTCTTGCGCGCCTGCATTCTTTAACCTGGGACCTCACCATGAAAATCTCCCTTGCTCCCCATGAGCAGGCCAACAGACAGAGAGCGAGAGATCTCAAATTTAGATGATTTATAATTCCCAGTTTTATTTAAAATTCATTGAAAACTGGGAGTCGTGGTACACTGCTGTATCCTAGCACTCTGAAAGGGTAAGGCAGGAAGATCAGAGATTTGAGCCCACCCAGGCAATTTAGGGACTTAAGCAACACCTTGCCCCCCCCCAAAAAAAAAAAGAAAAAGGAGAAATACACTGCCTCAAAACAAAAGTCAACAAACAAGGCTGGGGGGCCGGGCAGATGACTCAGTGGAATAAGCACTTCCCTGACAAGCACAAGGGCCTCAGTTCAATCCCCGGTTCTGCCAAAAAAAAAAAAATTTCTTTCAAGGACAAAAAAAATTAAAAAACAAGGCTGGGGATGCAGCTCACTGCAAAGGGCCTAGTTCAATCCCCAGTACCACAAACCATAACCGATTAAAAAAAAAGCAGTGGGGCAAGTCCACTTCTCTGTGTACACCCAAGCAAACATGTTCACACTAACATTGTCCACACACGTTCTTAGCAGTTTCTGCACTAAATCTCAAGGTGGAAACATGATGTATAAAGAAATGAAATGTGGTATATCCATTCAGAGGAATATTATTTGGCCCTAAAAAGAAATGAAGTTTTGGTTGATGATGGAGTATAGATATTGTGCAACTGAATTTGTCTGAGATGCCCAAAGAGGTAATTCTAAAGTCAGAAAGTACAAAATCAGTGGCCAGCCCCAGTGCAGGGCTTGTTTCGGGGACACCAAGACATTCTGCAATTAAACAGCTGTGAATGTTGCATAACTCAGTGAATACAGCATACTGAAAGCCAATGAATTTTCTATGTGATTTACATGACAGGTGACTTAGATCTCGCTAAACCTGCTTGAAAAGAAAGCAGAGGGATAAAAGACCACTCAGGGCTCTGAGGATTGCTAGGGGACCGAGGTAGGTGTAAATGGCCTTGAATCCTTGAGCCAGGCGCTTGTACGCTGCGTTACTGACCATCAAGGGAATCTCGGGTTGGACGGCTGAGTTCATTCGGTATGCACTTGCCAGACCTGGACCAGCCAGCGAGCTCTCTCGGCAGGTGGCTCTAGGCGCGCTCCCGAGCGCCGGGCGGGGCAGGCCGGGCGCGTGCCTCGGGCCTTAGGGGGTGTGGCACTGGAGCGCGGATTCCCCGGTAGCCCGAGGCCCGCGGCGGGGAACTGGGGGGGGAACAGCTCCGAGGACGCGGCCATTGAGCAAGGGGTGTCGGCCGTCAGGCCGCGTTCCACACAGCGCTCGAGGCGCTGCGCTGTGCACTGGGGCTCTAGACCCCGGGGAAGAGCATCCTCCCACTCCTGCGTCTTGCCGCTCGGCTCTCCGGCCGCCCTCCCTGGACGCCCCCAGCCTGCGCGATGGTACGGTCCGGGCTTAAAAGGCCCCGGAGGCCGCGGGCCTGCCCAGTGTGTGGGCGGCGGCGCGCGCGCGCGCGGGGCGCGGCGGCGGCGGTGGCGGTGGCGGCGCGTAGAGGGGGGAGCAGTGTGGGCCACGGGGGCGCGTCCACGTGGCTGGCGGGAGGATACCTAGAGCCGGCGGCGGCGGAGGGACAGGTAGGTGGTCGCCATCTCCGCCCTCACCCAGGGCTGGGGGGGGGGTGGCTTAGAGTCCCGGGCCTCGCGCAACGTGGGGGTCAGGCTGTCTTTTGGTGATCAGACCCAGCCCTGCCTCCTGGCACCTGCCCGTCCCGCCGTTTGTGCCTTGGGTGGGTAGGGACGGCCACCTTAAGCCCAGCCCACTCGCCTGCTAGGACTCTTTGTACTGGAGGAGCAGCGTTTCGGAGGATGGCTTCGAGCACCTCCAGCGACGATGGACTCTGCAGCGGGCCGAGGGTTCCCTGTGGGGGCAGAGCAAGCCGGGCTCCTGCATGGTGGGGCTGTTGGGGGGCTGGCGCGGGGCTGGCTCCATCACTGCCTTCTATGCTAGCAAGGCTGTTGAGGGCCCGGGTTGTGCCTGTGATGTCTGAGGTTGCCACTCACTCTGGGGGCCGGGCTGGGGGTCGGCACTGCAAACCCCCTCTCCAGGTCACTCTCCCTGACTCGTCTCCAGCCCCTCCTCAGAGCCCTCTTCCTGCGGGCTGCAGTGGAGGTGAGGGCAGGGTCCAGCCTCTCTTGTTTTGTGCCTTCCTTTCTTTGGTGTTTGGGTGAGGGTCCAGGATGCAGAGCTGACAAAAGAGCCCCGGAGATGATCAGTCTTGGCCCAAAGTTTGCAGCCTTGAGCTGGGCCTGCTCACTTCCTAGCCAGTGCCTTTTCCTTTCGCTTCTGTTGCTTGCTTTGCTGCCCTACCTTTCCCTTCCCCACGGTGGCTGCCTCCTGTCTCCCATGGGGCTCAGGCACTGAGGAAGGAGCGCACTTTGCCCCGCTCTGCTGCCTTTGCAGCCTGGAGCTGGATGGGTGTGGCTCTAGGGAGCTGAGTGCCAGCACTGGCACTGTCCCTGCAGCCCCCAACCTGTTTCCCCAAAGCCTGCAGCTCTGAGGGCATTGGGTCCCATCACAGGGCTCCGGGTGCCCTGCATTGCTGCCTCTGGGTGGCTGGGCACCTGTCTATCTGTGCTGGAGCAGAGCCTGACTTAATGTCTGTCTTGGCGTGTGGAGTGGGGGCAGGCGCGACTTGCTTTGTGTGTGTCCTGGGGGGAGGAGGCAGCTGGGGCCGGAACGCGATAGATGCACAGTGCAGGAGTCAGACTGCTTCTCCAGAGCTCTGTCCCCGGACTCTGGTGGCAGTGCCGTGCTGGGATGGCACAGCTGCCCCCTAGCGTGTGGTTGTTCTCTGCCTCCCTCCTCTGCCCCAGCCTGTGCCCTGGGCATTCTTGCTGTTCTCCCTGGGGCTGGCTGCCCTCCGTGGGGATGGGAGCTCCATTCCGGGAGGCCTGTCTTCCTCCATGTGACTCTGCTGCCCCTTGGGTGTGGCCTGGCTAAGGCGAGGCCTCCTGGCTCTTCTCCAGTGCAGGGGCGGGGGTGATTGATGGTCCCTGGCTTGTGCGCCCAGCCATGGTCACCATCTGGGGCTCTGGCATGCTGGTGGGGGTGTGCCCTTGGCCCATGGCATAGAGCCCAGCTGCCAGGACCCCTGACCCCTACTCTCCCTCTCTCCTCAGGCCTGTCCACAGTGGCTGCTGGCCATGCTCCCTCTGTGCCTTGTCCCGCTGCTCCTTCTCCCAGTGGCAGGGGTTGTGGGTGGAGGCAGGCCCTTCCGTGCTTTTGTGGTAACAGACACCACGCTCACCCACCTGGCTGTGCACCGAGTGACTGGGGAAGTGTTCGTGGGTGCAGTGAACCGAGTTTTCAAGCTGGCCCCCAACCTGACTGAACTGCGGGCCCATGTGACAGGGCCCGTGGATGACAATGCTCGTTGCTACCCACCCCCGAGCATGCGCGTGTGTGCCCACCGCCTGGCACCTGTGGACAACGTGAACAAGTTACTGCTCATAGACTACGCGGCCCGTCGCCTGGTGGCCTGTGGCAGCATCTGGCAGGGTATCTGCCAGTTCCTGCGCCTGGATGACCTCTTTAAGCTGGGGGAGCCGCACCACCGGAAGGAGCACTACCTGTCAGGGGCACAGGAGCCAGACTCCATGGCTGGGGTCATTGTGGAGCAGGGCCAGGGGCCCAGCAAGCTGTTCGTGGGCACTGCTGTGGACGGCAAATCAGAGTACTTCCCCACCTTGAGCTCACGCAAGCTCATTGGGGATGAGGACAGCAGCGATATGTTCAGTCTGGTGGGTGTCTGTGCCCATCCGTGTGGTCTGCTCCCTGGCCTGCCACCTGCCTAGCCCCATGCTCTCCTTCCTTCTCACCACCGCAGACATGGAGACAGAATACTGAGCCCCTGTGGGTCTGTCTGGAGGGAGGCCATCCCTGTCCTTCACCACATGGCTGGGGCAAGCCTGCTTGATGGGGGGGATGGTGGGACGGTACGCTTCAGCCTTCATTGGCTAGTGTCTTTGCCCTGCCTCCTAGGTGTACCAGGACGAGTTCGTGTCCTCGCAGATCAAGATCCCCTCTGACACGCTGTCACTCTACCCTGCCTTTGACATCTACTACATCTATGGCTTCGTGAGTGCCTCCTTTGTGTACTTCCTCACACTGCAGCTGGATACCCAGCAGACACTTCTGGACACAGCAGGCGAGAAGTTCTTCACCTCCAAGATTGTGCGCATGTGTACAGGGGACTCAGAATTCTACTCATACGTGGAATTCCCCATCGGCTGCTCCTGGCGTGGCGTGGAGTACCGCTTGGTACAGAGTGCCCACCTGGCCAAACCCGGCGTGCTGCTGGCCCAGGCGCTGGGTGTGCCAGCCGATGAGGACGTCCTCTTCACCATCTTCTCCCAGGGCCAAAAGAACCGGGCCAGCCCGCCTCGGCAGACCATCCTCTGCCTCTTTACACTCAGCAACATCAACGCGCACATCCGGCGCCGCATCCAGTCCTGTTACCGCGGGGAGGGCACGCTGGCCCTGCCCTGGCTCCTGAACAAGGAACTGCCTTGCATCAACACTGTGAGCCCAGGCCGGGCACCCAGGCCCACCCAGCTCTCCCCACCCCACGAGCACCCTTACCCTTTCCTCCTTTCTGTGCCTTTCACTCTTGTGTCTCTCTTTTGCTAGGTGTCCTTTCTATGCAGACCACCACTACCCTCTCCCCCCCTCCACATATCTCCAACTTGTTCCTCCTTGCTCCACCTCACATTGGTGATAGTAGCTCAGTCTGTCCTATGTTGCAGGCCCAGGCTCCTGCCTCCCTCCCCCTCTCCCTGGCCCACTGGGTACCCATCAGTCCTGGCTGGGGGGTGGCAGGGTCTGGGCTCAGTCTTCTGTGGCAGCTTCTGTCTGGCAGGGACCCTCACAGAGCTTTCCTGTTCACCAGCCCATGCAGATCAATGGGAACTTCTGCGGGCTGGTCCTGAATCAACCCCTAGGTGGCCTGCACGTGATCGAGGGGCTGCCCCTGCTGGCTGACAGCACCGATGGCATGGCCAGCGTGGCCGCCTACACGTACCACCAGCACTCTGTGGTGTTCATTGGCACACGTAGCGGCAGTCTAAAGAAGGTGAGGCTAGGATACTTCGCAGATGCACTTGAAGGAATTGAGGGTCTTGGCATGGTCCTCCTTAGTTCCAGTGCTCACTGTGGGGCCTCCCTATCAAAGAGCAGGGCCCGAGGCCATGTGCCTGTGCCGGGTGCTATGAAGGAAGGACCAAGCAGCAGTGTGGCCATGTGTGTGCTGCTTCCTCATCTCCAGCTCACTCCTTTTTCTCTTTCTGCTCTTCCTCAGGGTGTCACCTTCCTGGAAAGGCACGCAAATCACTGTCCTCATCCCTTGTTCTATCACTGACACTAGGGCCACAGCTGCTTCTGTTCTGGGACTGAGGGTAGTTTGGCATGGAGGGACAGGAGACAGGGTGATGGCACTGTTTTTGCCGGGGATTGAACTCAGGCCCTTGCGCTTGCCACGGAAGCGCTTATTCTACTGAGCAATCTCCCCGGCTCCCCCAGATGCCATTTGTAACCACTTTATTAAGCTAGAAGCTATGTACTCCACAGGTACCGCCCCTTCAAAACATCTGCCTTGCCAGATGTGAGTGCACTAAGTCAGGGTGGGGCCGTCGCCCTAAACTGCCAGGCTCTGTGGCACTCCCTGGCCTCAAACCTGGCTGCCTCTGTCTGCCAGAGGCATCTTCCTGCTGGGGGTGTCAGGGAGGCCCCAGTGGGCCCTGGCCTCAGCTCCGCTGCAACCTAGAAGACCTCTGGCACTGAAGGAGGGTACCTGGCTCTGGCCTGGCCCATCACCCCTCCGCCCCCTCTCATGGTCAGGTGCGGGTTGATGGATCCCAGGATGCCCACCTGTATGAGACGGTCCCTGTTGTGGATGGCAGCCCCATCCTTCGAGATCTGCTCTTCAGCCCTGACCACCGGCACATCTACCTCCTAAGTGAGAAGCAGGTGGGCCGCCGTGCTGTGGGGGGGCGGGGGGGCGGGGGGGGGCCAAGCGCTGACAGGGCCCTCTCCAGGTGAGCCGGCTCCCTGTGGAGACCTGTGAGCAGCACCTGAGCTGCACGACGTGCCTGGGCTCAGGAGATCCGCACTGTGGCTGGTGTGTGCTGCAGCATAGGTGAGGTGCTCCGGGGACACAGGCCTGCCAGGCCTGCCCCGCCCTGGCCCATTTCTCCCCTGTGGCACGCTCCTCTAAGGTCTCCAGCTAATGAGTAGTCTCCTCCCCGAGTGGCATCCCTTAGGTCCCAGAGGAGCAGACCGACCTTATGGTTGCCAGGCACCGACACCTGGGCAGTCTATTCCCATTCCCCTGGTTCCCACCACGTGTGCTTGTGCAGGTGCTGCCGGGAAGGAGCCTGTCCAGGTGCCTCTGCCCCTCACGGCTTTGCCACAGAGCTGAGCAAGTGTGTCCAGGTGCGAGTCCGGCCCAACAATGTGTCAGTGACATCACCTGGGGTGCAGGTGAGTGGCACAGAGGGTGCCGGGGCCCGTGCTGTGTCACAGGGCACACACTGCTCTGAGCACTTGCCTCTTCCAGCTCACCGTAGCCCTCCACAACGTGCCAGACCTCAGCGCGGGAGTGAGCTGTGCCTTTGGTGAGGGGACAGAGAACGAGGCCATCCTGCTGGCATCAGGGGAGCTGCGCTGCCCTTCGCCCTCCCTCCAGGAGCTGCAGGCCCTCACCAGAGGCCACGGTCGGTGGGCTAGGGGGCGGGGTGGGGCAGGGGCAGGTCGGCTCCTATCCCTGGCTCGGTCTCTGCTACCCCTGGGCTCCTGCAGGGGCTACACGCACTGTGCGGCTGCAGCTGCTTGCCAAGGAGACCGGCGTGAAGTTTGCCAGTGCTGACTTTGTCTTCTACAACTGCAGTGTCCTCCAGTCGTGAGTACCTGGCCTGGTGCCTGTCCCTATCCCTTGCAGGACGCCAGGGTGGCTGGCTCCAGGGGCACAGGGGCCTGCCTGCTTCCTGTCCCTGTGTAGCTCTAGCCACTTAGGCAGGCTCTAGTCACCTTTTCCCTTGGTTGCCCAGCATGTGTGTCAGGCAAGGACAGCTCAGGGCGGTAGGGTCTTCACTGTCTTGTGATGCTGCTTCCCCTCCAGGTGCATGTCTTGTGTGGGCAGCTCCTACCCCTGCCACTGGTGTAAGTACCGCCACGTGTGTACCAGCCATCCTCACGAGTGCTCCTTCCAGGAGGGCAGGGTCCACAGCCCTGAGGTGAGGCGGGTGCAGCATGCTGCACGAGGGCTGTGCTGGGTGCCACCAAGTTCTGCCCGCACAGCATCATCGGGGCCTGGTTGCCGCTGACGCTGCTCTTCCTCAGGGCTGCCCTGAGCTCCTTCCTCGTGGGGACCTCCTGATCCCTGTGGGCGTCATGCAGCCCCTCACCCTGCGAGCAAAGAACCTGCCACAGCCGCAGTCTGGCCAGAAGAACTACGAGTGTGTGGTACGGGTGCAGGGTCGGCAGCAGCGGGTGCCTGCTGTGCGCTTCAATAGCAGCAGTGTGCAATGCCAGAATGCCTCGGTGAGTGCCCACCTTCACAAGCCCGCTGTGGCCCTGGCAGGGACATCTAGGTGGGGAGATCCTCATTGCAGATGGTCTCACGGGTCCATCTCCCCAGTACTCCTATGAAGGTGACGAGTATGGCGACACTGAGCTGGACTTCTCTGTGGTCTGGGATGGGGATTTCCCCATCGACAAGCCTTCCAGCTTCCGAGGTGAGGGGTTCATGGGATGGGGTTGGCACTGCCCAAGCACGACCCGCTTCTCTGCCCAGCCTGCTCCATCAGCAGTGCCCTGTGTGCCCACAGCCCTTCTGTACAAGTGCTGGGCGCAGCGGCCCAGCTGTGGCCTCTGTCTCAAAGCTGACCCTCGCTTCAACTGTGGCTGGTGCGTCTCGGAGCACAGGTGCCAGCTGCGGGCACATTGCCCAACCCCTAAAATCAACTGGATGCATCCGAGCCAGAAGGGCACCCGGTGCAGCCACCCCCGCATCAACCAGGTCAGCGCCACCCCACCTGCCCCCAGGGACTGGGAATGTGGGTCAGAATTCTCACCTCTGCTGCTCTGCAGATCTACCCGCTCATGGGGCCCAAGGAGGGGGGCACCCGGGTCACCATTGTGGGTGAGAACTTGGGCCTCGCTTCACGGGAGGTCAGCCTGCGGGTGGCTGGCGTGCGCTGCAACTCCATCCCCACCGAGTATGTCAGCGCTGAGAGGTGAGTGCAGCCTTGTGGGCATCCCGTCCCTGTCCCAGGACCATGGTGGGCCCTGACCTCCTCTGACCCATAGGATCGTCTGTGAAATGGAGGAGTCGCTGGTGCCCAGCCCACCACCAGGGCCTGCGGAGCTCTGTGTTGGCGATTGTTCTGCTGACTTCCGCGCACAGTCTGAGCAGTTGTACAGCTTTGTGGTGCGTGGCATGGCCCCACCTGCTCTGGCCCCCTGCCCATTGGAGGGTGTAGGGGCGGCCCTGCCTAGCTGTCCTCCCCACCTCAGGGCTGCTTCTTCCCCAGACCCCAGTCTTTGACCGAGTGAGTCCCATTCGGGGCCCAGCCTCAGGTGGCACACGGCTCACCATTTCTGGCCACTCTCTGGATGCTGGCAGCAGTGTCACAGTGACTGTGAGAGATGGCGAATGCCGATTTGTCAGGTGGGCTGGGCAGTGACAGAGGCTTGGGCTGGGGCTGGGAGTCAGAAGCCCTGGACTGCCTATACCAAGTACACTGTTGCCAACATAGGAGAGATGCTGAAGCGATCGTGTGTATCTCCCCCGTCTCCACTCTGGGCCCCAGCCAGGCCCCCATCACCCTCACCATTGACCATGCCAACATCTCTAGCCCTGGGGTCATCTACACCTACACTCAGGACCCTACCGTTACACGCCTGGAGCCCACCTGGAGTATCATCAAGTGAGACGCTGGGCACAGGAGTGCATTTGGGGCTGGGACCTGACCCCAGCCTTGGACACTGAGTGATGCCCCCTCTAAGCTTGTGCTCCTTAATCCTGTCCCTAGTGGAAGCACAGCCATCACTGTGAGTGGGACCCACCTGCTGACCATCCAGGAGCCCCGGGTCCGGGCCAAGTACCGTGGTATTGAGACCACCAATGTGAGTACCTGCTGCCTTCACCCTGCCCCTGCTGCCCTCACTTTCACGTGCTGGGCCACCCACCTTTGCCCCCACAGACATGCCACGTGATCAATGATACGGCCATGCTGTGTAAGGCTCCTGGTATCTTCCTTGGGCGGCCTCAGCCTCGGGCACAGGGCGAGCATCCGGATGAGTTTGGCTTCCTGCTGGACCACGTGCAGACAGCCCGCTCCCTCAACCGCTCCTCCTTTACCTACTACCCTGACCCCAGCTTTGAGCCTCTTGGGCCTGCTGGGGTCCTTGACGTCAAGCCTGGATCCCACGTTGTGCTGAAGGTGCCACTGGGGCGGGGCAGGGCAGGAGGAGCAAAGAGCCAGAGAGCCCTGGGCAACTGTGTCCTCCATCCCTCCATCTCCAGGGTAAGAACCTGATTCCTGCAGCAGCCGGCAGCTCCCGCCTCAACTACACGGTGCTGATCGGGGGCCAGCCATGTGCCCTCACAGTGTCTGACACACAGTTGTTGTGTGACTCGCCCCACCAGACGGGTCGCCAGCCTGTTATGGTACGTGCACGGGGTCACTGGGAGCCCAGTGCTCATAGGCACTGGCTCACCACATCTCGTCCCTGCAGGTCCTGGTGGGTGGCCTGGAGTTCTGGCTGGGCACCCTGCACATCACACCTGAGCGGGCGCTAACCCTGCCGGCTCTGGTGGGCCTCGCGGTTGGTGGTGGGCTCCTGCTCGTGGCCATCACCGCTGTGCTGGTCGCCTACAAACGCAAGACCCAGGACGCGGACCGCACGCTCAAGCGGCTGCAGTTGCAGATGGACAACCTGGAGTCCCGCGTAGCACTGGAGTGCAAAGAAGGTGCTGAGGTGGGGGCGGCTGGTGAGGGAGCTGGGCCTCCTCCGGCGCAGCTCACTCCCCGCCTCCTGCCCTTGCCCAGCCTTTGCGGAGCTGCAGACAGACATCCATGAACTGACGAACCACATGGATGGCGTGCAAATCCCCTTCCTGGACTACCGGACCTATGCCGTGCGAGTGCTCTTTCCGGGCATCGAGGCCCACCCAGTACTCAAGGAGCTAGATGTGAGTGCACGCCAGCACGCCCCCCCCTCCAGCCTGCCCTGCTCTGAGGCTCCTTCTCCCTCCAGACCCCGCCCAACATGGAGAAGGCCCTGCGTCTCTTCGGGCAGCTGCTCCACAGCCGGGCCTTTGTGCTCACCTTCATCCACACGCTGGAGGCTCAGAGCAGCTTCTCCATGCGTGACCGTGGCACTGTGGCATCACTTACCATGGTGGCACTACAGAGTCGGCTTGACTATGCCACCGGGCTGCTCAAGCAGCTATTGGCTGACCTCATAGAGAAGAACCTGGAGAGCAAGAACCATCCGAAGCTGCTGCTGCGCAGGTACAGAAACCCCACTGGCCCTGCCCACCCCTTCGGTCCGCGCCGTCCCGACCCCGACCCTGGGCCTGAGCCCCTTCTCTTGCCCCAGGACTGAGTCGGTGGCCGAGAAGATGCTTACCAACTGGTTCACACTCCTGCTGCACAAATTCCTGAAGGTGTGTTGGGGGCTAGGCAGCAGGGTGGGCAGTCTGGGGCAGCCGCCACTGGGCATGTGGGCAGGCAGCAAGCTGTGCTGACCGCCACAGGAGTGCGCGGGGGAGCCCCTCTTCCTGCTGTACTGCGCCATCAAGCAGCAGATGGAGAAGGGCCCCATTGATGCCATCACGGGTGAGGCCCGCTACTCCCTGAGCGAGGACAAGCTCATCCGGCAGCAGATCGACTACAGGACGCTGGTGAGCCAGTGGGCACTGGGGCGGGGGGGAAGCAGAGGCCACCAGCCTGCTCACTCCTGCCTGGCCCCTCAGACGCTGCACTGTGTGTGCCCAGAGAGTGAGGGCAGCAGCCAGGTTCCTGTGAAGGTGCTCAACTGTGACAGTGTTACCCAGGCCAAAGACAAGCTGCTGGATGCCGTGTACAAGGGCATCCCCTACTCGCAGCGCCCCAAAGCTGAAGACATGGACCTGGGTGAGTCCTCAGCCCCGCTGCACCCTCCGCCCCCTGAGACGCAGGCCCAGCACTGAGGGCTGCCTCCGTCCACAGAGTGGCGCCAGGGCCGCATGGCTCGCATCATTCTCCAAGATGAGGATGTCACCACCAAGATCGAGTGTGACTGGAAGAGGGTCAACTCCCTGGCCCACTACCAGGTGAGGGGTTGGTAGTGGGCCCCGGCCCTGTCCTTGTCCTCACCAGAGTGCCTCTCATACACACAGAAGGATCCAATCTATTGGTGGCCTCCAGGCTTCCTACATTGTTTCTTGTCTGTCTCTGTGACCCTTAGGTGACAGATGGTTCCTTAGTAGCCCTGGTGCCCAAACAAGTGTCTGCCTACAACATGGCCAACTCCTTCACCTTCACTCGCTCCCTCAGCCGTTATGGTAAACGTCTTCCACCTTGGGGACTCTGGCACTCCTTGGTTGGGCAAGAGGCCAGGTAACAACCAGTAGCCCCAGCAGCCTAAGCTCTCTGTCTTCTGCCCAGAGAGCTTGCTCCGTACCACCAGCAGCCCTGACAGCCTCCGCTCACGGGCACCCATGATCACACCTGACCAGGAGACAGGCACCAAGCTGTGGCACCTGGTGAAGAACCACGACCATGCTGACCACCGGGAGGGGGACCGTGGCAGCAAGATGGTTTCAGAGATCTACCTAACCCGTCTGCTGGCCACCAAGGTGCGGGCCTGCCCCATGCCTCTTAGTCACTGCCAGAGGCCTCTGAGCCTACCCTTGGTCCTGGGGCTGTCTTGATCTTCCCAGCGAGGGGTCACTTTTTTCTGGGGCCTCAGGTCTGAGGTGCAGACTAGGTCCCTTTAGAGGCACTGGCCATACTGGGAAGCCCCTCTCTCTGGAGAGCCTTTCTATTCCTGCCTGGTAGGCTTTGGGAGTATTCTGGCCTGGATCCCCCTAGCACGCTGGCCTTGCTGTCTCCCACAGGGCACACTGCAGAAGTTTGTAGATGACCTCTTTGAGACCGTGTTCAGCACGGCCCACCGGGGCTCAGCACTGCCCCTGGCCATCAAGTACATGTTCGACTTCCTGGATGAGCAGGCTGACCAGCGGCAGATCAGCGACCCTGACGTGCGCCACACCTGGAAGAGCAACTGGTACCAGCTGTGCCGCTGCTGCCAGCCCTGCGGGGATGCTGGGCAGGAGAGGCTGGCAATTGACGGGGGCTGGCCCTGCGCTGACTGTGAGGCCTGGGGTGTCAGGGCTATGCACAGGGTTCTGGCACCAGTGGTGACCATGGCCACAGAGGAGATTGGTTCCTTTTGAGTTCAGAAGTGCCATTTAGCTGTGGGCTGCCTTGCCGCAAGGCTCGCAGCAAGCCAGGACCAGCTGGTTGCCCTAAACCATAGCAGTGCTGGCATAGGCCGAGAAGTGGGCCACCCCACACATGTGGACTGTGGGGGGCAGCGGCAGGAGAGCCCCTGGGAGCCTCGCCGCGTGTCCCTCTCTCTGTGCAGCCTGCCCCTGCGCTTCTGGGTGAACGTGATCAAGAACCCCCAGTTCGTGTTCGATATCCACAAGAACAGCATCACAGACGCCTGCCTGTCGGTGGTGGCCCAGACCTTCATGGACTCGTGCTCCACGTCGGAGCACCGCCTGGGCAAGGACTCGCCCTCCAACAAGCTGCTCTATGCCAAGGACATCCCCAACTACAAGAGCTGGGTGGAGAGGTGCGCCCTGGGAGAGCCCCAGAGGTTGGCAGGGCAGGGAGGGCAGCGGGCTTGGCTGACGTACGCAGGGTCCCAACAGGTACTACCGAGACATTGCGAAGATGGCGGCTATCAGTGACCAGGACATGGACGCCTATCTGGTGGAGCAGTCTCGTCTGCACGCCAGTGACTTCAATGTCCTAAGTGCGCTCAGTGAGCTCTACTTCTACGTTACCAAGTACCGCCAGGAGGTGTGTACTGTAACCCACAGGCTCCTGCTCCTGTGTGCGTGGCTTGAGCATGCGGCACAGAACACTTGCAAAGTGCCACAATGGGGCAGATAGGACGGAGGGGCGCAGGGGACACAGAGCCAGTCTCTTGTTTATAGTTCCTCTCCTAGCAGGTTCCATGGCCAGCACAGGTGGTACTGTCATGGATGCTGGGACTTGTGGGATACAGGAGGGTACCAAGTTCAAATCCAGCTCAGGACCTGGCTGGACCACAGAGGGGTGGGCTGAGTTATGAGAGAAGGACCAGCCCTTTGTAGGGCCTCTAGGGTCTGTAGTTTAAGATGTCAGTTGGCAGGGGTTGGAAAAGTCTGGACTTTGTAATTCATGTTGACCAAGAAACTGGATGTGGGCCAGAAAAGGGAGGGGTCAAGGGATAACTGCAGGGTTTGTGCCCAAGCAGCTGGCAGGATGGGGTCCATTCCTGTTTCCCTGTAGGGGAAAGACTGGGTGGAGAGGCCTCAGGATGGCGTGGTTAACAAGGGTCTTCAGAACCACCCAGTGGTCCTGGCAAGGAAGAGGGCAGGGGGAAGCTGCAGAGACCTGCGGGGTGGGAGGCCGGACAGTGTTAGGGATGCACATGAGAGTGAAGTGGGAAGGCTAGGCCCCAGCCCTGAGCCTCATCTGAGTGGGATTCAGGTGACGCCAGGCGCTTGGTGGGAGGGAGTCTGGCGCTCCAGGGAGGGACTGGGGCTGAGATGTGCCTTTACGAGCCACTAGGTGGCACTGCAAGCCTTGAGCTGGGGCCCCAGTCGAGTGCCAGCCTCGCCCCACAGCTGAGAAGGCAGCAGAGCTCGCAGAGGGCTGCACGGAAGCCCACTGTGCCAGCGGAGTCCTGTGGGCCGGGAGTGCGGGGGGTCCTCGGGGCAGCCAGCCCCAGCACGGAGTGTGCGACTGCAACCGGGGGTCGGCTCCAGGACACAGACCTGGACAAGGCGGGGGTGGGTGGAACAGGTGGGTGAGGAATGGCTCACTCTGGAGGGGCTGATGGCGGCCTGGAGCAGAGAGGACAGTTCCGTAGGTGGAGGGGCGGGTTTCCCAGAGGATGGAGGGTGTCCTCATCCCTTTCGCCTCACCTGCCTTGTGAAGGAGGAGAGGCCTATTTGGGCTTGTATTTCAGTCCAAGGTCAGCTGGGATCAAGGCAGAAGGGCATGGCAGAGCGGCCTGGTGGAGGAGAGCTGCTCCCAACTTGATGGTGGAGCAGAGATGAGGGAGCAAAAGAGTGCCTCAGAGCCTTGCAGGCCATGCCTGGCTTGCCTCTTCCCACACACCGCGCTCCTAACAGCAAATTAGCTAAGAAGCCTATAATCCAGCTGGCTCCAGAGGCCCTGCCTGTGGTCGCATGAGGCTGTAGGACACACTTAGATATGAATAGAACAGTAGGTTTGTTCAGAGATGAAGAGATTGGATCCCTGAGTGCAAGTAGGGGCTGCCCGGGAGGGTGAGCTGAGGCAGGCGGAGTTGGGAGAGAAGAGCCCACGTGGGCTAGTGGCCCTCCTCTGAGCCTGCCTAGCTAAGAGGCCCCCTCTCCCCAGCTCCTTGCCGCCCTGGACAGAGATGCCTCCTGTCGGAAGCACAAGCTACGCCAGAAGCTCGAGCTGATCATCAGCCTTGGGTCCAGCAGCAGCTGATGGGGGGGTAGGTGATGAGGGGGCTTCTGGTTCCTGAGCCAGCCTCCTGTCACCATTACAGGCAGAGGTTGCTCCAGCCTGGGTCCCCAGGTGTCGTGGGGGGAGGCCACCAGGCCAAAATGCCCCTGGTGTACCTGGGCCCCTTACTTAGTGCCTTGGTTTGGGCCCTGCAGGGGGAGGTGGCGACAGGACCAAACCCTCCACCCCAGCAGCAGCAATACCCCACCGCCCTGGCCCTGTGCTCCTTATACCTTGAGCGCCTATTTATTAAATTTACAGCCACCTGGAGTTGCATCTGAGAGTGCGTGTTCTCTGTGGGAGGGCACCATCGCAGGTGCCCTCCTCCGTGGTAGATTGTACGCCCTGACACATGGTGCTGGTATGTGTCTTCCCCTGGCTGGCCCCCTTGGACCCAGCAACACCCAGAGTGGAGTGATACCCTCCATGGGGTGTGCAGTACCGGACAAGGGTTTCCCTTCAGGTGACAAGTTCTCTCTGAGCACTCAAGGATCTAGAACCAGGCTTGGACCAGGCCCTGCCCTGGCCTAGGGAACCCCTCCCACACATGCCCCAACTTCCTCAACCTTGTCTGTGCTCCCATGGCCTGGAAGCTCAGCCTCAGCTCCCTGGGGCACACCCGCCCCAACGGCCAGATGGCAGTGTCTTCCTGCCCCTTGCTTCCCATCTTCTGCTCCTCAGAGGACTCCAGCCCCGTCTTGTGGTCCCACATCCAGTTCTCTTGAGTGGCATGAGATCTTTGTCCGCAGCCTGATGTTTCCTGATTAAATGTGGGGAAGAAGGGTCCCTATGTGCCTGGTCTTTGGGGCAGGTGGGCGCGCCCACTAGGCGCACCTGATGGGAGGAAGGGTAACTCCGTAGCCAGCCAGCTGGGGAGTAGGGGGGCTCCAGCCGAAGGGCTCTGCAGCATCTGGCCGTGCTCTCCCCACCGACCCCAGCTGAGGCAGGTGAACTTTGCCATCTCTGGCCTAGCTGCTGCTCCTGCTTCCACCAGGCTCCCCCCAGCCTCAGCTTCCTGTGGAGGCCGATTGGTCCTCTGAGACCTAAGGCCACAGGGTGCTGCTGAGCAGATTTCCATAGGAGGATTTTCTGGCTTGGGCTTTAATCAAATGCTGCAATGCAGAGAAAGTTCAGAATGGCTCTCGGTGTGGGAGGTGATGGAAAGGTTCTGTAGATTGATCGTACTACTCGTTTAGAGCATATCCGGGTCTCCAAACATGATGCTATATGCTCCTTCAATATATGCAGGATTTCGTCAGACTCAGTGAAAGGTGAAAAAATGAGGCTAAAGTGTTGGAGTAAAACTAGCAGGAAATGGACCAGGGAGACAGCTCAGTGGCATGGTGCCTGCCTGGCAAGTGGGAGTTTCCAAGTCAATTCTTGGTTTAAAAATAAAACAGCAAAATAATAATAAATTAAAAACAAAACAGCAGGGGCTGGAGAGATGGCTCAGTGGTCTAAAGCACCTACTTGAAAAACAAGCTTGGCAAAGCACAGGGACCGCAGTTCAATCCCCAGCACCACATGCCAGCCAGCCCCGCCCCCTGGTGGGCTGAGCTGGCCACACACACACACATAAATAAATAAAATTAAAGTACCACTCTTTGAGATTAAAAAGTCACATGTCTTATTTGTATTCTGAGACCAGAGTGACTTCGGTAAATTACTATATATGAAGCTATTTGTTCATTAA